CTTAGATGATTCAAAAAAGCATCAGAGGTATTTCAGGGCTTTGGAATAGTTGTCAGTGACATTTTAGTTCAAATGGAGTAACTGTGAGTATGGCAAATGATACTGGATTTGGGGTCAAAAGATCTAAACCAAGGGTCAGCAAACTATGGCCCAAAGGCCAGGTTGAGCCCACTGCCTGTTTTTCTAAATGTGTTTTGTTGGAATACATATAGCCTATGTATGGCTGCTTTCATGCTGTAATGGCGAAGTTGTCATGGCAGAGACCAGAGGACCCACCAATCCTAAACTACTCACTATCTCACCTTGTATGTAAAAAAGTTTGCGAGGGGGCCTGGGTGGCTCAGTCGGTTGAGTGTCTGCCTTCGGCTCAGGTCATGGTCCTTGGATCAAGCCCCACATCAGGTTCCCAGCTCAGTAGGGAGTCTGTTTCCCCTCTTCCTCTGCCATTTACCCTGCTTGTGCTCTCTGGTGTTGTCTCTCTCCGCCCCCCACCCCACCTGTCAAATAAATAATCTTTAAAAAAAGAAATAAGTTTGCCAACCCCCGATCTAGACTAAGATCCAGCTCTGTAATGTAGGGCAAATCACTATTTCCTCTGATCTTCAAGTTCCACATCTATAAAATGATGATTATGTCTCCCACAGGGTTGGTGTGAGAGCCAGATGCAACAGAATGGGCAGCCAGGCACTTTGGAAACTCCGAGGGTGGGCAGCACCTGATCTGTGCTGGAGGAGAGCCCACCCAGACATTCTTGGTGTTTTCTTTTCCAGTCCTTGGTGCCAGCTTGTCATGCTCTCCCTTTCTCACAAAAGCAAAAAGAATTCCCCAGGTCCCCCTCCTTCCACCCAAACAAAGTGTTCTTCCAGAAAAGGAGGATTGGTGCGGTCGTGCATATCCGCTCGTTCATCTACCTGTTGAGCACCTGCGTTGGAGGAAGCACGCTGTATAAGCCAGTCCTTGCGAGAAGAGGTGTTTGGTTTCCGGGGGGAAGTTTGTATACAAATCATCCTAGCAGAAGGGAGAGGTTGCCATGTCAGAGGAGGACACATCGTGTGTGTGTGTGTGTGTGTGTGTGTGTGCATTTGTGCAATTTATAAAAACAGAAATATTCAGGTTCAGAGTTTAGAAAAGCTGGTTAAAAACATGAACCTCTTTTTCCAAACTACCCTGAAATGCCTTGCAATGTCGCCACTACGGATAATGTTTCCCCCTTGAAAACTACGTTCTAATTTTAAGTTTCCACCCCAAACTGCCAAGAATGCATTTCCTGCCCCTGCCTGGTTACCAGAGATCTGTCATCCATGCCTTCTGGACAGGACCATGAGGGGTGGTCACATGTAAGGGATGTGGATCACCTGAGCTTCAAGGAGCCAGGTACTCACAATAGTTTATGAATTTGGGAGACACTCTTCATTTCATAATATCCTCTTTTCTTTATTGATTTTATTTTTTATTGATGATCAATAAACATAACCTCAGTAGTTTTTTTTAATCAGCTTGCTATCAAAGGCATAAATTGAGAAGAAAAATAAAGTTTAAAAAAATGTTCTGTTCTGAAAATACTGTCGCTATACCTCTATGGTCAAATCTTGCTACCACTGATGGAGGAAGCTATTGTTATTTGGGAGAAAAGGAATAATAAGAGGACCTTATCTATTTCTGGGATGCGGATACACACACACTTCGCTCTAGGCTCCAGACTGGGTCCCCTGGGGTCTTCCCAGCATGGTGGCTCTCTTGGTCCCCATGGATCTAGTGTTGGTATTTTTTGTGAATGTGTTTCATCTGTATTTTTCTATGTGCGTTTAAATATAGAACTGCAAACCTAAAACTCATCACCAATGTATGCCCACCATACATACAAGTTAAAACATAAAACTCTACCTCATTTTACTCTCCCTGGCTACTAATACTTTTTGAAAGAAATGAGGCTTAGGTTTTTATATTTTCTACCTCAGGATTTAATCCTCTCTAGAGTGTTTTAAAAGAGATTGCTTAGCTCCATTGAGTATTTTTTATTTGACTTAGCTGGACTCCTGTGTTGGCAAGAAGCACGTGCAGAAGCTGTTCTTGAACTAGGCTCACCACCGGCCATTTCCTCGGGCCGCAGTTTATCTCCTGTCTTTCAATTCACAGGCAGCGCTTTCCACCTCTGTCCCCCTCTTGTTCAATGAGGTGCTCTGTTTTGGAGTTTGCACCTCGTTATTTCACATCAAGGAGGACCTCCAGTCTTTCCACCCCACCTTCCTTTCTGAAACAATGTTCATCTGGTTTTTAGTTTTTCTCAAAAGCACCCTCATTCCTGATGTTAAGTGCAATCTGTCTCTAAACCTTGAGCAGATGATGATGGCACAGTTGTGCTAATTGCTGCCAACCTGAGGTGATGGTGGGTGTGGGACTCATATAGGCAGGTGAGTGGATCTGACACAGCTTGCTGGGCTGGAGTCCTTTCTTTCTGGGCGCCTGGGTGGCTCAGTTGGTCGAGCGTCCAGCTCTTGATTTCAGCTCAGGCCATGATCTCATGGGTCCTGGATTTGAGGCCCCGCATCAGGTTCCGCACTCAGCAGGGAGGCTTCTTGAAGATTCTGTCCCTCTGCCCCTCCCCCTGCTCTCTCTCTCTCTCTCTCTCTCTCTAAAATAAATAAATAAATCTTAAAGAAAAAAAAGGAGTCCTTTCTTTGACTTGACCTTCAGAACCTTCCTAGGATCTGAAGCAAGGGTCTAAAACAAAGATAAAATATAGACTGTAGAAATCATAGCCACTATATTTGTTGCAGATTTCCATAAAGAGATGAATAATTAGAAAGAAATACCAGGGAACGTGCATCCCAGGTAGGCATGATAAATTCTTCCATATACATTCCATCAGTAGGATGAATCATGAACTATTTGGGTTTAGGTTCAATGTTTGCAGTTAAGTGGTGAGTGTTTTGTCTATATTTTTTCATATTTCAATTTTAATTTCATACAAATTCAATTTAGCTGGATAGATTGTCTGACTTGTTTCCTAGAACTCATAACTAAGGTTTATCATTGAGATTATTGCTTTTAAAAATGCTCTTTAAGCATCTCAACTTGGTGCATGACTGTTTAAAATGAATAATTGTAAGAATATTTTGGTACTGCAATTTTTAAGCCCTCTCTTATTTACAAGGAAAATAGAACTGATAAATTTGAATGATGAAAATGGATTTAATTAGGTGAATTTAGTGAGGCTTGATGAGGTGGAGCCAAATTTAGGATAAATGATATTTTTAAACTAATGTCTCTTATATTTTTGGATTTGCGAAAGTTCCTCAGAACATGTAGAAGGGTCATGTAATTCACACACACCTCTCTCTCATACACACACATTTACTCTCCTGCACGCACGCACATGCACACACACACGCAGAAGGGGCCCTGCAGCTGGAGTATGTTCAACATTCTCCCCTCCTGCTTCAGTTACTAATTCTGCCTATAAAGGGTATATCTGGCAAAGTTTGGTTCTGTCTTTCCTGTTCTAACCCTGTAATTCCCAAACACAAAGGAATATTCTAATGGAAAGTATTGTCATTTCGGGTTTTCCATTTTGGGGACAAAAATGGGCACTTAGCCATTCCTCGTGATTCTCTTTGCTTGCGTCCTATGAAGGATAACAAAGTCACCCATTTTCTGATCCAGAACCCAACTTGTTTTCCCAGGTTCCCTCCTACAACCAACACAAACACAGACATTTACCAGCAAAACAGAAGCTGTTGGAAAGATTTTTTTGGCTGCCGAAATGGGCTCTTGTCACCAGGACATGGCAGGCTTTTTGCTGTATTGTCTCCCAGCCCTGGCCCGGGTACTCCAGAAAGAGCTTTATGTAATCAGTCTTCCCTGACATGTGACGTCCTGTCATTTCCCTCCCCTTGGGCTCTGCTGCCGCCCACAAATCAATAACATTGCCGGGGAAGTTCAAGCTGGTTTTGCAGCCACCCTAAGCTCTGTGTTTCTTAAAGGCTATGTCAGAAAATGTAAAGTTCCCTAATGATATTTCTGGCTGATGACACATGGCAGAGCTGATGGACTATTTATAATCAGTGGCACGATCGCAAGCACATTATTTTTATTTCACTTAGGGGGGAGCCCTGTCACTTGCTACCTCTCTTTGCAGACAAGTCGATGCCATCTCCACCTAAAGGAGCTAAGCCCTCTTTGCAGAATGCGTTTGCACTCTCCCCTTTGTGTTAGGAGCTCCCCGGTTCTTTCCAATAGAACCCCCCCCCCTTTTTTAATTGTTCTTGGGCTGGAGGGGGATGATAAGGGCAACCAGTGATTTGTAGCAACTGCTTTAAATTCTGGTCATGCCTTCACTATAAATGTCTCAGTCTTTGCTGCTCAGATCCTGCTACATTCCTCGGAGTGTGGGCGTGGCTGGCATGTGACCGAGGCAGCAGGCGCAGCTACTGCATTCAGGCGCTCGCCCCACTTTCACAGGACTGGGCATAGCACTGCGGTCTTTCGTTGAGCAGCTACTATATCCTAGGCAATGTACTTGGTAGGCATTTTATGCACAGTGTCTCATTAACACTTTCTAACCTGTCGGTGCCAAGTGCTGTTATCTCCAAAGAAGACGTGTGGGGGGAAAAAACGGGACCTTGAATGACTTCTCTCCATCGCCACACAGCTAACAGGAAAAGCCCCATGACTCCAGTTCAAATCTAACAACCCACACCTGCTCTCTTTCCACTACCTTTTCACTTTTTTTCAATTAAGTGGACCCTTGTGTATATATGTCGATGTGCAGGGGCACTTACACATTCCCAACTTGGGCAGCTCCTGTGAGTTCACAGGCTGACCAAAGTGAGAGATGGAAAAACTGGAAACTTTTCCACCTGGGGTAAACCCTGATGTAAAAGGAACCATGTATTAGAGGAGGGTTTTGACTCATTGCAATGGGAAGTGTTTCTGCTATAAAGATACTGAGCTCTCTCTCTCTCTCTTTCTCTCTTTTTTTTTAAAAAATGTTTCCACAGGACAGAGTTTAGGGTATGGATTCGTTAACTATATTGATCCAAAGGATGCAGAGAAAGCCATCAACACTTTAAATGGACTCAGACTCCAGACCAAAACCATAAAGGTAAGAAGTGATATGCTGGTTACTGATTGGGAAGCACTGGTTACATTTCATCCCTTTGCTCTAATAAATCCAGACTATGAGGGAGCTGGAAGTGGTGTCCTTGGTTTATGCAAAGGACATTTATCATCCCCTGCACTAAGTGGGGGACACAGATCATTACAAGGAATGAAATGCAGGCTGAGTAGAGGGAAGGGACCAGAGGGCAGATGGGGTGTCAGGGTCCACAAAGAAGACCTGTGAGCCCAGGTCTGCAAAGATGGCCAGAACTGAGCCATGGGAAGAAGCTGTGGCAGGGAAGCTGTTCTAGACAGGAGGAACCACACATGGGAAGCTGTGGAAATGAACGTAAACGTTATGAGTGGGGAACAGCATACAGAATAGCATGGCCTAAGCTTGGATGGGAGGTGGGCAGGGGCCTTGTGTGCCGGGCTGAACAGTTTGGCTTTACCTAAAGGTGGACAGTTAGTCTCCTGAGACTGGAAAAGAAAAAATCAGTTATAAATAAACTCTGGTGTAATAGGGATGGCTACATAGGAACATAGTAGAGGAATGACAGAAAAACTGGCATTGGAGCAATTGGAAAATAATCAGGGCTGTAGATCATATCTCAGATGGGATTGTTTTAATTCGAAAAAGAGAAACAGTCACCCAGAGCCTGCTCCTCCAGACAGGTTTCTGTGCCTGGGTTGTCACTCTCCCCGTTCAGACTTCACCTTGTAGAGATCCTTGAGGAAGCGTGCTGTTTGCTTTGAGGACCCCCTCCGACAGCCAGTGGTGGTCTCCTGGATGGAGCTTCTTCCTCCTCAGCCTCTCTTCCCCCTCTTCCTCCGCCCCCTCCAGGCAGTGTCCGCTTGGGGGCAGCTGCCAGCCCATTAATGAGTCCCATCCTTCATAGCCTATTAAACCACAGGGAGGTGTCTCCTGGGCGCTCTTATCCTCACGACAGCAGGTCTGACGCAAAGTAGGACAAAAGAGAAACCTCTCCCAGAATGGAAATCTATAGATGGCACCAGCTCTCAGCGTATGAAAACACAAAAGCAGAACTTTTGGGTTCAACAGAGCTACTTTTCCAACATCCAGACTGACAGAGGAGACTATTGGTATAAGATAACCTTAGCTCTAGGAGGTAATCAAAACAAAACAAAACCAAAACCTTCTCTTTTTGTAATATATTATATGATTGTCTTCCTTCCTTCCTTTATTTTAAGCAGCTTTACTTTTGTAATTGAGTTTAGTTTTATTTCTAAAAAGGATTGCTTTCCTGACCTCATACGGGCTATGGTGCACACCTACCCCAAAATGGGCCTGACTCAGGCTGCCTCCATCTCATCTTACAATCAATCCCTATGAGTTATCTACTGGAGAAATAATTAAGAGTTGTTTAATTATGGGGTAGTCCTCTGAGAGGCAGGAGGATTAATTTCTTTCAAAGGAAAAACATACCTATTTTTATGCTTTAGGTGAAGATGGGAGGCTCACGTCCCTGACTGTTTGTTGAGGCCACACCAGGTGGAGAGCTGTATTTGTGGGTTTGATTGATTTTTCTGTGCTATCTAGTTCAGCATTAGAATGTCAGACATTTACTCTTCCCTTGATGGACACCCTGACCTTGAACTGAGAAAGTACTTTTCTTTCCTCTACAGTTTTCTTGAAACCCAAACCTTCCCAAGAGTTTAGGATCAAATCATCAGCCATCCATTCTGCCTTTTTTTTTTTTTTTAATATTCCATGAAGCTGTTGGGCTTCCTGTAAGACTGATTGGACCCGGCTTTTCTGTTCTCAGAATGCACCCCCTGATCCATCATGCCGTCGGAAGCAGTGCTTTGTCTAGGTGAACCATACAGACAAGGAACATTGATTATTTTCATTCTGTGAGGAGACAGTCTGCGCCACCCCCTTACCCACCCTGGGCTCACCCCGCATCAAAAGGCTGCCAACACATTTGCACCCAGCAGTAACGTGGGCTTCCGAGGCACCGTAGGATTCAGAATGCATGATGCCATGACTGAATCAATAATTTCCATTCTCTACTACGAATGAAAATTTAATGTGCAAACCTAGGGATTTCAGCCCTTTCATTAAAGCAGTTTATTTGCCATACTAAAAATTAAGTTTGAGTGATAGGTTCCTTTATTAACTTTTCTTCCCTTTCCTAAAGGGACACAATGTTTAAGGTAAAAATCATATTAAAGGGGAGGGGGGGGAAAAAGCAAACCCTTTTCATGTGCTGTTAATAGTCTCATCATTTATTAATTTTTTAAAATTGCTTTTCTGCCTTTCAGGCCACTGTTTACTTCTGCTTCAGTTTGCTTTGATTAGTGACACGAGATTTATCTCTTTGCTCTGACTCCATGAAGGAATAGATAACTTGCCTATCTGGAAAACACAAGTATCCCGGAAGCATGCTTTACAGAGATCTCCCCAGAATCATCTAGCACATGTTTGCAAGATGTGGTCAAGTTTGTCCCTCCTTCTCACCTTTCTGGACTGCTTCGTGTAAAAACACCCACTTTAAATGTAATGCACAGTGTGGTTACAGGCAAAACAAGAGTTAATTCCTAAATTTTGATGATTAATGATTAACAGCTCAATTCAGGGATAGTTCTAGAAAGCCCTGAGGGAGTGGTGGAGACTTTGGTGAGCAATAAAAACAGCAGCCCGTCTTCAGCTATTGCTGATTGTTTAAGCCCGGATTATTGCCAGATCTTCCAATTATTCAATAAAATAATTGAAAAAAATTTTAATCTCTCAATTTTTAAACCAACTAGAAAATTTTAAAGCATAGGTGGTCAGGCCAAACAAAACTTAATAGTTGGCCTGTGGACAAGCAGGTTGCAGCTTCTGGAGTCAAATTTGGATACACAAACACTGTTTTGCCTATTGGAAGTGAATGGTTCATTACTGGGCTGCTAGGGGAAGGTGCCCACAAATGATGGTTCCCAGTTACAGATTTTCATCACCCCTTTAGTAAGGGGGATGTAATATAACTATGTGCCAATACCGAGGGCATTGGAGGGCAAGGCCAGGCCTTTGTCCTCAAAGAGAATACAATCTTAGCCTAGACACAGCATCAAAGCAGAGAGAGAGCATGACTCGTTAATTAAGCCCCTACAAGTAGCATGGATGACTGCTGATAATGTGCCTATCTGGAAAAAACAAGCATATTCTTTGGAAGCGTGCATTACAGTGATCTCCTAGGAACATCTAGTACATGTTTGCAGACATGTGACTGCAGATGGATTATTCTTTGGATTATAACTCATTTAGTGGGAGAAAGTGGCCAGGCTCAAAGATGACGTGACTTGTGCAAAGGCACGCAAGTGACCAGCAGCTGAGCTGAGTTAGCATCCAAAGGTCCTGTGAAGGATCCTGCTACAAGCAGAGCTGCTTAATATGTGAGCATGAGCTTAAAAGGAAATGATAATAATTACTTATTATACTAATAATTAATAATAGTAATGCTACCTTATATTGAATATTTTACTCTGTGTCCAACAGTATTCCAGCCCCTTCACATGCTTGATAGGATTGAATCCTTGAAGGAGCTCTAGGGCTGGGGGCTTTACATACATTAATTCTACTTAAGAAGCCCGGTAAGAAGTACTCCTCACTCCTTCGTACAGTTGAGGAAACTACGGCCCACAGAGGTTAGGAGACTTGCCCAGGATCACACAGTTGGTAAGTGAGATTTGGAGACAGGAAGTGTGTTTCAAAAATAACTCTGGCAATGGGTCATAAGTGTTGGAAGGTCATGCATTCTGTAAGATTGTGTGGGTGTGTGTTGGCTCTGCACACACACACACACACACACACACACACACACACAGGTTATATTCTCCAGCATTTTTAGGAGCTAAAAAAAGGAAACAAACTGTGTGGTCCCTCCGGGTCCCTCAGTAAACAGACCCATGGTTTGAGGCTTTTGCCATCAATCTGCGGATAGACCTGACTTGAGGCTGTTTCTTCTTGAATCCCTGCTTTCCAGGCTCTGTGCTAGGTCCTGGCATTTGGGAGACCCTGAGAGGGCAGTGCCCTGGGCATTCTCTCATCCACGTGTGTCAGCGAGCATGGCATGGACCATGGGCTTCCACGTCTAGCTTGCCAGACCAGCCTGGTGCTCCACTTGGGAAACTGAGTCTTTTCTGAGGATTTCAACTCTGAACCCAGTGGAAATGATTTGCCCCGTTTAAGGCATTGGAATGCATTTTTGATTAGCTTTTTTCCTCACTTGTCTCCAACGGAGATCCCTTCAGACTCTGGGAAGCAGTGGGTGAAATGGCTGTGGATTCTAGATGCCCGTCCCCGTCCTGGGCTCTCGCCTGTCTCCACGCGCTCTAAAACAGTAGCTTCGGAGTCCACACTGTAATTTCAGCCTCTTACTAGGAAGCCCTGCATAGTATCCAGCTGTAGCATTCCAACTCTTTGTTGCATTAATTAGTAACAAAATGAGATGGTCTATAGTACCTTCAAAAGGGATATCTTTACAGAAAGTGTGTATTGATATTCAAGTTACACTGAAAAGCTTCAGTAAAAAGTGACCCAAAGTGGAATATGAGGATTTGGAATCACTCCCACTAAGCCTTTCAGGGTAGTGGGACACCAGTTTGGATTTTAACTTGAGTTTGAGGAGCATGAGTAAAGCAGTGGTCATTGCTCTGCCTCCATGGGGAGCTCCTGTCTCACCTGGGACACAGACACGCAAAGGGCCAACTCTAATGCCATGAGATGGGGCTGTCGGGCTGCGGGGGTTCCCATTGTTAGGGGGCAGAGGTGCTGGGAGTAGGAAGCTGTGCGAGGTTTGAGTAGGAGAGGGACCTGGTCAAAGGAAAGTTCCAAGAAGGCTCATCTGGCAATGGTGTGTCACTTGGGGTGTTTGACGAATGAAACCAGCATCTTGCAGGCTATAGTGCTAGGTTTTGTCAGCCTTAGACACTGGTTTTCATCAGCTCTTTAGGAGCTTTGTTACTCATTTTAAAAGCAAGGCATGCATATTTATAAAT